TGTTTCTTCAGTCAAACTTGGTAATAATGAGCAAGTTAACTAATATGTCGGTCTCCTTTTATTTTACTTAATTTTTTTCTTTTTTCTTTTATATTTTATTATTTTTTAGATATTTTTTATGCTGCTCAATTTCCTTCATTAGAGCATTTCAAATGGTGAATTTAAGTGGGAGAGGGAAAGTGATTTACTTGATGGCTAGTGATGTAACACTTTGCTATAGTTTGATTTGATGTACCTGGTCTCTATGGAAAAGGGAAGTTATAGAAAAAAAAAATTGCAGAAATTGTAATCTTATGTATCTCGTATTATTAAATGCAATATTCAACACAAACATAATTTTTAAATGAAAACGACGTTGGATGAAATAAATGTCCTAAATTAAAACATAAATTTAAGTCTTAGATTAAAACATAAAACAAAATCTCACATCACAGTTTGAAATAAGAAACTATTTAAAGCATAATTTTAAGTGACCAGTAATACAGTGGCACATTACCATGTCATCCTTCCTCATCATGTGGTCCTCTCTTTGAGTCGAGCTGTATTTTGGATTAATCTCTTCCTTTTATTTTAAATGATTAATGTTACCTATTTTAAATTTATATTTTACATTAATCTCTTTCTTTTTTTTTTTTACTTTTTAATTGACTTTTTTTATCCACATTGAATCATATTAAATTTATTACAGTAACCCTTGTTATTGGGGTGGTTCGATTCAATACATGATCGTAATAGGTCATTCGAACTCGTCAGTCGGTCAATCTTAGAGTGAATCGGTCAAATCCAAAATTGACCCTACTTGAGCATAGACTAACTAGGTCAATCCAAAATTTTACATTAAAATGTTTTTATAAATATAATAATTTTAAAAATAAAATTAAATGTAAATATTTATACGGTAAATATTAATGACGGAATACAATATTTTTAAAACTTTGATGGATAAAGTTTACATATGAATTATTTGTTTTTGTTATTTTATATACATATTCACAAGATAGAGATAGTATGTGTTGGTGGTCGAATTCAACAACATAGTAACACCGGTTTAGGGCGCGAATTGGATTAATTATAAATACAGAATATCAAACAATTTGTAAGAAAAACGATTGGATGTATTGTAGCGATAACATATCTTGAGTGTGATTTCACGTTGTCCTCGTGTTTTTCACTTGTTTTTTCATATTTGATCTTGTTCGAGATTTTACAATTCATAGTAACTAAAAAAGTATAAAATTCATCATGTTGATGAGCCACAAACACTTGTCTATTAAGGGGGGATAACCCTCCGCATGCAAAGAGAGAAGTGGCCGCATGCCTTTTAGAGAATATGATATCTATTTGATTCTTGGCGACAACTCATTTCGCATTATACAGTCAGTTCGTCACGAATTAAGCTCTCCTTGGTCGGTGTGCAGATCGGCACTTTGACTATGGGAGAGTGTGATGACGTAATTTCAAAGGTAAGAAGAGTGTCTGGTTCGGTCTTAAGGTTGTTGTCTCATAACATTAATATATAATTCTTCACTAATTCATATCGGCGATGATATAAGCAATAGTATGTACATAATTTTTATAATTAATTTTTCGTTTCAAAAATTCACTGGTAAACTAGCTCAGTCAATTTTTTAAAATTAATTATAATTAACAAAAAATTTTAAAAAACAAAAATTATAAACAAGCATGCCCTAAGTGGAGCAAACCTTCCAATCTAGATTAAAGAAAATGTCAAAGTTTAGTGAGTGAAGTTCAAAATTCGTCGTGTAGCAAATAAAATACCAATTATCCCTATTACTTAATTATTGAACAATTAAACAAGAAATCAATTAAAGATAAATTAAAACTTGAAAGGGGTAGCAGAAATAGCTCATCAGTAGACCAGTATTGCAAGTGTTAGGACAAACATGCCTTCTTTAACTTGATAACAGTTCATTCAAAGAAAGAAAGCAAAGATTCTCTATAATGCTTTTTCTTGTTTTCTTTTCTTTCTTCTTTTTTTCTGAAGTCTAGAAGTACCCTACTGTCAGCAAAGATGAAAGCTATTAATAAATAAATAAAAAGGGCCTCTGAAAACCTTCTGCAAAAGATGCAATGGTTAATAACCAAGTGAAAATGCCGAAAATGACACATGAAATTATTATAAATAAAAAAATTCCAAAAAAAATAGAAAATAATGATGAAAAAATGGTCCCCTACACACTCTTCCTTCTCTCCTCTGATTACAAAACAACAATGTAAAAGTATCAAAACTTTCAGCTTTAGTGCCTACTGCCACATTTCTTTGGGACACTCAAAAAGCACTTTCAGACCTATGCTTCTATCTCTTGCTATTCACAGAATCAGAGGAAAAAAGATAATAAAAAATAGAAAAAAAAGGGCNGATGAATTAGAAAAACAAAAAACAAAATTACAGGAAAACAAGAAAAAGGTGTAGGGCTAATTTAGTTTAGCTTATGTTGGTAGTGATTCCTATTTTGGTACATTTGACCCAATCCCAATTCCCAATTGTCTACTCTGAATTTCTTAGGTTTTTGCTGGACGATTTTTAATTAAATACAAGGCCCACTCACTGATTAAAGTGTCTGCACAATCTGAAATTCTGAATGGCCTTGAGAATTTCAAAAAGATCCAATGTTTATCACAGTTTCTTGCAAAAGATCCAATTTTTGTCACAGTTGTCTTGTAAAAGATCCATCTTTTATCACAGTTTCTTGCAAAAGATCCAACGTTTGTCACAGTTTCTTGCAAAAAGATCCAATTTTTGTCACAGTTTCTCGTAGAAGATCCATTTTTTATCACAGTTTCTTGCAAAAGATCTAATATTTGTAACAGTTTCTTGAAAAAGATCCAATTTTCATCACAGTTTCTTGCAAAAGACCCAATTTTTGTCACAGTTTTCTTGTAAAGATCCAAACTTTTTTTTTTTTCACCATTTCTTGCAAATGTTGGGTTTTCTATCAATAGTCAATACTATCCCACCTAACTACAAAATAGGGATGAAAAAATTAACAAGCAATATGTGCAATGTTTGCTTCCCTAACAAGGTATGATTTGATAAATAATCAGAGAAACAATTGCCAGGATATTTATAACACATCAATTGAATTTATGTAGTGTGTGTGAAAAAGAATTATACATTATCATTTATTATCAGTAACTTCTTTCCATCAATCACTTTCATGTGTGTCCCTATCTACTATCAAAGACGAAATATTACAGGAATATGCATGATTCCCCTTTAAAAAAACAAGTGTTTCAAGAACTTTACATGCAATAAAATACCAACAAACACCTACACCTAATATGAACTGAATTATTCCTACACAAAATTGTTTAGTGCACATGCCAAGTGTATAAATTCCTTGCATAAATATTTCTAATATTTCCTTAACCAAACAAAAAAATTAATGACAATGTCGCGAGCAACTGTACAGTGCTATCAAGCCACGAAATCGGACAAAACTTGACCCGAGAAGGATCATCAGTCGAGAGAGATTTTGAGCCAAAATTAAAAAAGGAGTATTCGACTAATCAAACGACAGACTTCTGAGCGAAAGTTATGGATCAAATTGAATATAGACAGTTTTATTCATGCTACACCATTTCCATAAGGGATTATAAGTTGGAATTGTTAGACCATCATTTCAAAATTACAAATATCTGATGTTAAAAGTATGCACTACTTTCTAGTTGCAATTTGTCAAAAGAAACACTTGACTCAAGAGGTGCTAGTAATATTTCAAGAACATCATCTAAATTAGAAGACGAGTGAACTTTTTTTTACGGCACAATAAGCCTCTACAGCGTTTCTCGCAAGACTCATTTACTATAAAACCCTTCTAGGCAAGCAAGGATCTAGAATTTTATGTCGAGAGGAGCAAAAGTATGAAACACCGCATATAAAATGCATGCATATATAAGTGAAAAGCGGAGAGTCGAAACTAGGAATCACCTCGAGTTATTAGTAATTACATAAACGCCCCAGGTTTGGGGCATTTACGAAACACCGCAGATTTCAAGATTGTAAAAGATTCAATAGACTAACCTTGAGTTTCTGATTTTCATTCAACTCCTAAGAAGCACATTATAGTATTTCTGCAATCATCAAGGGGTGATCCTAAAGTTCTCTCTTTATCAAGGTGAAAAATGTAAGAAAGCATCAAAATGTCAATTTCTCCCCTTTCATCTTCAATTTTGAAACATTCATCTGCTCTTCATTGTAATAAACCCAAGCTAATCATCATTGTTCTAACACAGTGATGGCCGAGAGGGCCTAAAATAGGCCTTTCCGGCATTAGCGGATGATTGAAGAGTAGAAAGCATGTGAACTCCTTCACCTGAACACAATGAAGTCATTTCTTGTTTTCCTCTAGGACTCCTTCAAACTTCTATTAAAAAGAAAGCAAGGATAAACAAACGATGTGCATGCAAAGAAAAACGTTATCTCAAAAAGAGTTTGGAAGCTAACGAAGAACGAAAAACACAAATTGTGGTATTGTTTGATTCCACTATCTTATTTTGGTGGTATCTATTTTATTATATCATAAATATGATAACTATTTTGGTATAATATTGATAAATCCATAAGGTGAAAGATTATCTATCCACAGACTGTCTAGTTAGAAAACAAAACATGCGTGATATGAACTAATATGGAAATAATCAAAGCTATGCGTGAGAATGTCTAGTTACTGGGCAATACATTTCAACGTTGTTCATCGTTCAACTTTATCTCGCTTTAATACCCGTCAAATTTAAATACAATATTTAATATTTGAAAAAAAAAAAGGAACAAAAAAGATAAGCTTGGCTAATATAATTGTCACAAAAAAGTTAAAACTTCCATGTCTAAAACCTGCATTCTAAGTAGTTTCTAACTCACTCTTAAAGATTCATGGCAAGGTTTGTGCACTCATCCATTTCAGGGATTACAAAAACCTGTAAACAGAAGAATAAAGAGCTTCTGATGGTAATAGTGGAAAACATTCTTATTACTTGATTGTTTAGGAGTCCCATTGGAAAATCGAATTCATTTCTTATCATCTGAACCATGTTTGCCGAATTTTTCCAGTGCCAAAGAATATATTGCTTTTCGCTTCATGGGTGTTCCTGGGGCCACCAACTTGACTGCCTGCATTTAAATTATCCAGGAACGAATTCTGTTAGCCACACAAGCTACTTCAGCAAATTAAAAAAGAGTAAAGTATAAGGCAAACAAAGTATGTTGTCCTCCGGCATATCCCATCAAAATCTAACAAGTTACATTCTCGAAAATCAAGGTGCATGTTTGTTGATTGGTCGAAATATGTGCATGTCTTATATGTTTTTTTTGGGTATTTTCATACACTTAATTCTTTCACACATAAACCTATTTATACGCGTTCACTTACCATGGAAAGACTGTGCCCTTGAGAAATCAACTCGCCCAACTCCTTTTCAAGTTGAGACTCGGAGAGCTTTTGACCCTCCCTAATTGTCATTCCTTCAATCAACAGTGTGATTTCACCTTTCGGTTGGTGCGTGGAGAAAGCTTCCATGGCTTCCCCAAGAGTACCACGCCAGAACTTGTCAATAGAATGTAACTTGTTAGATTTTTGGATTAAATAGATTCAACAACAACAACAACAACAACATACCCAGTATATTCCCAACAGGTTGGGGTCTGGGGGGTCAGTTGTATGCAGACCTTACCCTTGTAATTATACAAGGAGGCTGTTTCCGTAGCGACCCAAGGTGCATTGCGCCGTTTGATATATTTTTTTTTTCTAGAAACTTCACTAATAGAAGAAGCACTAGAATTTAATTAGCCATTTTGAACTAGTCCATTATTAGCACTATGCCAGGAGAATTGTCAACAATGACTCTTCCAGCTCCATTATTTGGATTAAATAGATTCCAAATAACAATTTTGATTGCAATCTTTCTCATCATTCAATCAACGATGTTGACAACAATTTTCAGATAAATTATCTGGTTTTTTAAAAAACCGCAATTGACAGCTAGTCATAGTATAAGTCAGTTTTGATGTAGGAGCCAGCAATTTCAAGGTCACCAATAAAGGTTCAAGTCTGCAATTTGCACATGAAAACTACTGTCTAGAATTATAACCATAGTCTAACTAGATGAATAACACAGCTAGTTTCTACTTTCTAGTTACTATGTTAGCCCACACCCTCCTTTGGCCAAGGCAAAACGCTCTTTTTCATATTATTCAGGTAACAGACAGAACTGTTTCATTCAGCTATGTGATATTTGTTTGCTTTCAGAGGGCAACCCCAAATAAGATTGAATTATTAGAACACAGGCACCCAACTAAGCCAAGATAATATATTCTAGAGTTCGTCCTTTCCAAAAAGTAAAAGAGAAAAAGATAAATTTAAAGGGTTATTATATGCAAGCAGTATATTTTCTTTGGCGTCAGAAGATCTTACTTGAATATTGCACGTCTAGACTCTGCTTCCTTAAGGATTGTTAAACGTAAAATTTGCATTAAACAACTCACAAAACAATTACTTACATCCATTTGTTGTCAGAACTTATTATAGCATTTTTTGTGAATCAAGAGGTGATAATACAACCATCAATTAATAGACTGCCCATGTCAGATGTTTGTCATGCAGCTAGATATTAATACTAAATTCAGTCCCACAGTGAACCCCATCTTTCCATATCTCCATGTGCCAAAACTAAGTCTAATCAACATTCGTCGAACCCATCACAAAGTGAAATCAATAAAATCACATTAGCAAATCACCAGGTTCAAACCTTACTTCTTCATGCATTTTGGTCATCTCTCGAGCAATGACACAACGCCTGAATATGAATGCACACCAGTTAGAAAAAGAAAGTAACTATTTCTTCAGTTTAAAAACATACATATTTATGTATTTATAGATGAGGATATAGATGCAGGAGCTCCTTTGGTGACTATAGTAAAACAAAGTATATAAACAGAAACCAAGGATGTGCTTTGATCAGAATCAACAAGTATTATAAGTGTTCCGATGTGACATGAAGTTCTTAAAACTCATAAACTATAAAAATGAAGATGGGAAACATGAAATATCAATTAGACTGCAAGTGCACCGATGTGACATGAAGTTCTTGAAACTCATAAACCACAGAAATGAAGAGAGGAAACATGAAGTAAAGATCACAAGCTCATGGAGCTCGTGTAATTTAAAGATGTTCTTCGAAGCATGCAAAGAAACTATTTAAGGATCAATATATACCTGGACTGTGTACTGAAGCCACCATTCACTGAATTTTCATCAAAAGGAGAATAAAAAGATAGAAGAATGAAGAAAATAGATTTGATTCTCGTTTTTATAAACCAAACTTCCCTGAAGGCGTCTCTTTAACACAACTGTTCAGAACCAGTATTCAAAAAAATAAAAATAAAAATAAAAATCTCAGTTTTTAAGAGATAATTAGTTATTTAATCCACTGCAAGAACTATAAGCAATAATGAGACAACCTAATATGTAATAACACCGTCAAACAAAACTAATGTAGTGATATATTTACCTATGCTGCCCAAAGATTGAAGAAGCGTCTTCCAGAAACTTAAAGAGATTGTGGGGAGGAACAAAGAAGACCTGAGTGGTTGCATTATTCGCAGCAACCATCAACCTCTCCCTTCTTGTTGTCCCATGTTTCGGCAGAAAACCAACTGCATCAATAATGTTATATTGTATACCTCATATCTTGATAACTGTAGCTGTTAAAAACCACTCTCAAGTTATCAGAAGATTACCAAATGTAAACTCATTAGTTGGCAAACCGGACGCGGAGAGAGCTGCTACCACAGCAGATGGCCCAGGTACAGGTATAACGGGTATATTTTTGTCTACACACAATTTGGCCTACATATCCAAATGCAAAAGTTAGCTTATAATTTGAATGAAGACCATCATTCCAAGTGAACATTTAAGTAAAGTTCTATGGACGTGTAAAGCTAGAGATACGAGACATAATAGAAGAGAAAAGCAGTAGCGAATGAAAAATTTATTGTGCTTTGAAAATATAAAATAGAAGTCAGATCTATATATATATATATATATATATAAAGATTTACTATTTACTAAATTTAGTAAGAAGAAAAGTCAAACAGCATTAATAACTTTCTATTTTCAGCAATTTTTCAATTTTCATTTTAATTCTTTGCCAAAAAATCAGATTGCCATAAATGTATCCTACATTCATCCATTTATTAATTTTCTTTTTAACTAATTGCTAGAAAATCCGCCACCATAAATGCATAGTTCCTTATCACTTTGTTTTGGAAAAGATTGCATAGAAAATGTTTCTCATTTCAAATTTAAAATTTAAATTTTTTCATTCATTATTTAGTTGTCTTAAAATCGGGCTGAACAAAAATTTTGAATTAGGCAAAATACAATATATAAACTAATATTAAATATATATTTATAATTTATAATTTAGTCAAATTCAAAGTTCCGTCTCATTAATTATTAGACAAAATATGATGGCATAAAAAATCAAGTCTCATTTCAAATTTAAAATTTTAAATTTTTTATTCCTTATCATTTGATTGCCAAAAAATCGGGCTGAACATAAATATTGAATTAGGCAAAATGAAATTACATTTATATACATATAAATATATATATATATATATATTATAAAGATAATAACCATTAATTACTAAAAATAGTAGCAAAAAATTTTGGAACATTAAATGCATACCTTCTTTAGAAACTTTTAAAATATATGCATTAATTATTATATATACAAAATTCCAAATCAGATCAAATCAGATATGTTCAAAAAGATTTTTTTCTTTAATAATTTTTTTAACATCTGCAATAATTTCATTGATATATATTACAATAAACTATAAATTTAATTTTTCTTGATTCATATTGATTATATTATTATCAAGATAGACATGAAAACATATTTTAAATTCTAAGAATATTATTTTTTTCACAAATATTGACTTTTCATCCTAAAATATTTATGAAAAATTGTAATATGTTAAGTAATTTTTTTCTTCATCTTTATTTCATTATATATATTATATAAAAAAATATATTCTTCAAATTAATATAATCTACCATTTAAAAGAAAATGATCATATACATTAAATAATTATACTAATGGCCAAATAATGAAATTGAAATATATTAACTATCCTTTAGAAATTCAGCATGTGATTTATTTGTATATCATTGTTAACTATGATTATTCTTTTTATTATTTTCTTATTTTGATTTCTTTCCATAGTGAAATTCTTTTAAAATATATTTCCATTGCATAGCATGCAAATTATGATGCAAATAAACTTAAAGCCTTATGACGCAAATTAGAAAAATCTCTTTATTACAGAAAGGATTTATTTTTTCACAATTACTAAATCATAGATGTTTAATTATTATAAAATAATAAAATTCTAAAAAAAATTGTGTATATTTTGTAAAATATTTCTACACAATGTTTTACTTTAAATTTATTTACATAATTTAAATTAATTACATTAATAAATAATATTAACGTACATTAAATATTTTCATTACATAAAATAAAAAGAAGAAGAAGACTACATCTATAACTTTTATAAATAATAATAATAATAATAATAACATTATATTACAACAAATTTTATATATAATAAAATAATAATTGAGTATTATACGAGGAACAAGAATAAATAAAATTATTATTTTTCTTATATCAAGGAATAAATATATATACTAAAATCAAATTTATATCACTATAAACGTTTCAGTGGGATAATATTTTAATTAATTTACGGGCTAGCACTAACATATTAAGGTTTAACGTACCGACAAAAAATTGACACTGATGAAAAGAGGTATAAAATAGATGACACAATTCTATTACTCCCTCCTATTTTTAATAAATTTGGTTTTGAGAAGTTGCACAATAATTAAGAATATTTTGTTTGCCAATAATAACTCTCATTAATGATGATAGAGATTGATGTTTTGAGAAAAGATGGAGAGTGAATATGAAAAGACGTAGAGTATTTATTAGTTAAATGAGGGTAATAATGGAAAAATATATACAAAATAGCCAAAACGACATTTATTTAACAAATGATCAATAAGCTAGAATGACAAGTAATAAAAATAGGAGGGAGTATCTTTTAGGCCTTAACAGACAAGTCATATGGAAATGACTCATTTAATTTCTATGTCCCGTGCATCGAATGAGTTACTTAACGAACAAGTTCTATGGAAATAACTCATTTTTAATATCTCTGTTCCGTGCATCAGACGGGCTACGTACTAGTAATAAGAAGAATGGAATCCATAAGGTCCTTCAATCATTTTATGCTTCCAGTAAATTAAAATCATAATCAGAACGTTGGCATTTGGAAACTACTAAACCTACTTTTTTCTGTATGACTCTGACCAAAACTGTAGAATCACTGTTCTTTAGGTGATTGGAAAATCAACTTACTAGCTCCATTCCAGGATCACTTATGCCTGGCATGCCTGCATCACTTATCAATGCCACTATTTCCTTATCAAGCAGTCTTTTCAGCACAACTTGCTCTCGTTGAGATTCATTGAATTTGTGATAGCTTAACTGAAAATCTAAATCGTAGAATCAGAAGGATCTCCAGACACACAAGAACTTATTTATCATCACATTGCAGAAAAACAATTTGAAAATTGGCTTACAAGTGGAGTTCTAATATTGTAGCAGTGGAGCAACTTTCCCGAATGCCTAGTATCCTCCGAGAGTATGACATCAGCAGATTTCAACACTCTTAGGGCCCTACAAGAAAATGAAACCAAATATTGTTGGTTCATCTAAGGACCGGAAAAGATAATCCAGGAAACAACTTCAGCGTCCAGCTTTAAAGCCATGAGCAGCTCATATTTCCAGTAATCAGAAACCTTAATTTTTTTATTTTTTTTCATCAGCAACCTTAAAGTTATATCCTCAAGATTCCCAATTGGCGTGCCAACAAGATATAAACCCGGTTTCAGAGGACCCTGCAAAATTAAACAGGGAAAATGAATTCATTTACACGAATACGTACCGTGCAGAAAATGAATTAAATTATTGTGAATCGATAAAATTGTAATTTTCAGGGACATGGGAAAATCGAACTCATGTCAAATGGCATCATATACATAGATTTAAAAGTGAAAAGTGACACAGCAAGTAAAAAAGGGGAAATGAATGAGGATATAAAATTAGCTTACTTGTTTTGAGGGAAAATCCTCAGTAAGTTCGCCGTCACCCTCGGAGGCTACAAAATTACCGGTCGAGAAAGGGACGGCGGAAATGGTGGCGTGAGGAGACGAAGAAAGAGAGAACAAAGAGAGATAGGACGGAACTGAAGAGATTGGACAGCGGCGCCACCGCCGTGCGAGTGGTGGCGAAAGATATGGGAACGGTGGTGCTATTGAGGGGCAGCGGCGTAACAACATGGTTTGCCGTTCATATGTGTTCTGCAGTTCGCTTCAGTAGTGCAAATTTTGGTCAAGCGACAAGCGCCATTTCATGGGCGGACAATTAATTTGGGCATTTTTCATTTAAGTTGTTTCCTAAAGTATAATAAATTGTTTTTAGAAGTATGTAGTTTAATTTCACATAATGCATTAATTTGAGAAAGTGCATAAGCTATGTATATTCAATCTGCAAAAATAGGTGATGTTAAAAACAAAAATGTGGTCATGTGATAAACTGATAGCTATTCAGGATCCTAGAAAAGACATATAATTCATATTCTTTTCTTCATTGTTAGGGAAGCAAAATTAAGATTGATCTAGACCGCCCTAATTTCCTTATATGCATATTTTCATTCAAAAATAGCCATACTTTCAAAAACAATATAAATATTATAAACCAATATAAACAAAAAATTGGATATTCACATCATAAGTATCCAATATTGTTGATGTAGTATATCATACTTTCAAAAACAACTATTAATCATCTTGTGCAGATGCACAGATGTACATAAAATATTATAAGTAATATATGAGAATTTAATATTAAAATTCTAGATAATGAACATATTTCATTTTCAAACTTGATTATTAGGAAAAATAAAATAACAATTGTTTATTATTATAAACAATTATTTATTATCATTAGATAATAATAGTTTGATTATTATTATTATTATTATTATTAGTATTATTATTACAAAAACAATTGTTTACAAAATTTTAAAGTTGTTTGACTATGCTATTAAAACTATTTACTAGTTGTTTTTAAAGAAATTTTTTCATGAGATATAAAAGAAAAAAATAATATTGATGTTAAAATAAATAACTTGAAACAATTGTTTATAATTATGTAATTTATATATACATATATTTATTGTTAATTATTATTAGTTGATATTAGCATTAATTATTATATAATATAATAAAAAAAATACATGATTACACTCCATAGGATCTATTAATGTGAGAAGTAAAAAAATATTGATGATAAATTTTGTAACCGAAAATGGAGAGAAAAATTTAGAGATTTTATTTATGAGGTTTTCTTAAATGTCATAGCTAGTAATTATATATATACAGATATATAAATATTATAAAGCAATATAAACAAAAAAATGGATATTTCACATTATAAGTATCCAATTTTGTTGATATAGTATGTCGGGTCAACTAGTCTATCCGTTAAGCTGCCTTACACAAAAATTTGTGGCAAGATTATATTTACTTAGGTGCCATGAGGGGTTGAGACCTAAAAAACTAATAAAAGGAACCCGTCTTTATAATAAAATAAAATAATTTGGATCCCGGGAAAAGAATAACCACACCAGATAACAGCAAAGAAACCTCGAGCAAGATGTACTTAGTAGAAATATCCATTACATTGACATAACCATCCACACAAGTGCAAGGCTGGGACGAATCCCTTAATAACAACTTATTAAACGCGTGAATAAAGCACGACTAAAGGATCAGAAAATTCAAGCAGCAATGGTACTATGCTTAGCCACTGTCAGCTGCAAGTCCTCCTTCTTTGCACCAACAATCTTGTCGACTACCTTTCCCTCTTTGAAGAACAAAAAGGTGGGCATAGCCTCCACTTGATTTTCCTCAGCCACAGCCTTCAGAAAAATGTTTTTTCACACAAGATGAGCAACTAATCAATAAATCCCATTCAACAATCTCGATAAATAAACTATTTTTTTTTTTTTAATTTCTGAAGTTCAACTAGTTAAAAATTCAAACAGAAGAATGATACAAATGGTAAGAAGTAAAAATCGAAAAAGGGTACCTTGAGTTCATCCACATCAACCTTGAGGAATATAACATGGGGAGTCTTTTTGGCAATCTCAGCCAATATCGGAGCAATGAAACGGCACGGCCCACACCATGAAGCCGTGAAGTCAACCACCACCTGATGGAAAAGTTTTGCAATAAGATACATAAATAATAATACACGAAACAAACCTCAACAAAACATTAAGCCAAAAGGTCAGATGGTTAAAAGATAAATAAGCTGGAAGTATCAAATAAGAACAATATGCAAGAATTTGGCTTTTGCCTAAGTTAACACCATCATAAATAAATACTCACATCATCACATAAAGGAACTTTTTGTTCACAAGAAGTGTTAACATATTCATTTTAGGCCATTTAGGGGAATTCGTTTTTACGAGAAATATTATCACATAACCTCACAGAAGAAACTCTTTTTTTTTTCACATTTTATTCCCTACGAATATGTGACAATATCAACTGGGGATGCTAATCTGGTCTAAATAGAGATAAAAGCCAGGTAATACTCTGCAATAACATCAAGAGAGCCACAATATTTTGCTCTCAATTTCTGCACATTCAATAGAAGATGCAACAAGCATCCCTTACACATACAAGACAGTCCAAATTCTCTTACACCAGTTGAATAGTTCAATTTTCGACATGTTGACAAGCATACAAAAAAAAGTTACACTACATACACTCGCATTATCGACATAATGCACAAGAATTTTTCATCATTATTTTTATCATCTTTCCATCAATGAAAAATCCCGACAACAATAGCCTCCCTCGACCCTAAATTTGGTAACAATTTCAACCTATATCGACATAATACACAAGAACAGATAAACACACACACACATCAATTCATTGGTGCTAAAACCCTAACATATACTTGCAAAAAAGAGAACATACATACAAAATATTAAAATACACAAACTGAATCACCCAAATATCCCTTGATTCACACATTACACTTAAAGTGACACCCGATCCAGAATTTACCATCATTATCATCAATATAAAACTGAAAGAAGGAAAAAAAAAAAAGCAAAAAACGACACGTTTATAATAGAGAAAGAGGGCTTACCAGTTTCTTACTCTCGACGCTCTTCTGGATATGCTGCTTCCACTCATCAACGGAGTGGACGCTGATCACCTGTCCCTCTTCGGCCATTTTTCAACAACTGTTTCACAAGAAAAAATCGAAAATTCCCAAGTTTTTTTTGTTCTTTTATGTGTTTAATGTAAGCAGAGAATACGAGGAAGAAAGGCACATATCAGGGTCTCGTATTTATTCAGCTAAATGAGGCGGTGTGTATTGACCAAAATAGACAAGTTTTCTCGATTAATTAACGAATATGTACGGCCCATAATGGCTAGGGGATCAGATTCAATTAATTGTTGTTATCAACTCACATTTATGGAATTTTAAATTTTTCAAGCAGACCGTGGAATTTATGGAATGAAATTGCCTGAGACGAAGAAATTGGAAATTACACGTGGTGAATGGAGAGCCATAAAGGCCATTTACAAACCTCGTTTCGAATTTTGCCATGAATTGAATGGGGCTGCCATACCGACCACGTTCATGAGGGATACTTTTTCCCTTATTCAATGAAAAATTATAATTTTGGTTTAATAGGTTTGGACCTTTTATAAAATTAGTCTCATGCATTGTAAAATTGTTCATTTTTAATTTTTTGTTGGAAAATTGGTCTCAACTTCATCAAAACTAATGGGACTGTCGTGTGTGACGTGAGTTGTTAATTTATGAAATGTGAAAATTACAAATTTAGCCTCTCACATTATTGACGGTGTTGCAAATTTGTCTCAAATGTTACAATATTGCCGTTTATGTTTTTTGATTGTAATTTTGGTCCCCTATTAGTCAAACAATACAAGATTTGTAATTTGAGACTAATTTTGATATTTGAGTCTTATGTATTTAATAAGTAGTTGATGTCATATTAATTCAACAACATTATTTCATTTTTCTCGTTTGGTTGTTCTTAATTCGGCTTCTTCCTCAGACGTCGTCATCGGTCTTGTGTGAGATCGAGTTCATCATTGCGTAGATCGATTGAATGATTGTCTGTTGGGTTGGGTATCGATTTATTATCCTCATCGCCTTCAAGTTGGCCGGAATAAATTTCTCGCGTGGGGATCTTCGTAATGCAGTCACGGGCGGCCCGTTGATCCCCCACAGTGTGTCTCTACCCATTAGAAGTGGGGAACTTCAATGCATAATGATAAATGGAGATGTTGTCCTTCAATTAGTACAATGTAGTCCGACCAAGTACAAATATCCAAATCAATGGACTTGAAGGTTTCCAATATCGTCATCCTAGTTGGTTTATCACCTCCAAAACTCATGGGCAGCGTAATCTCTCCCAAGGGAATAGTAATATCGTTGTCGAAGCCCTGTACTTGATCAGAGCAAGGGGGATTTGATCAATGTCAACACCCATGAGAACAAGGGTGTTGAAATAAATTCAACTTGCATAAGCTCCCGTATCCCTCCATAATGCGATAAATCGCAATATTAAAAATTGGGGCAACAATAACCAACACATTAGAGTGGGAGTGATGGGTCCAACTGGCGTCGTGATCTAAAACGTGACCACACTGCGCAAATCGGCACCTGCAGCGCCTGGACTCACGGGTTGACTGTGTCGGTCAAATTTGTAAGATTGGTGAGCATATGCTCGTTGTTGCCTCTGTGATTGAGTCGACACTGGCTTGCTTGTATTGCCCATGCGAGTCGGCTGTCCATCTAAGTACGTGGACTGAGATTGTAGTTGAGATTTCACAGCAACAATATGAACCCAACACGGTTCAGGTCGGAGCCACGATGAACTGGCTTCCGCAGGTCCATCCCATTGGTTGCCATGACATATATATCTTCATCCAAAAAATGTTCATCATCTCTGTCTGCATTTTACATTCTCGTTGAGGACGGGCAAATCGGTCAAACTGGGGGTTACCAATTGTCTTGAGTAGAGTCTACATCAAATTGCGGCCTTAGTCGACATTATGCCCATGGCTCTTATGATAGGCACAATACCGAGAATTGTCCAATGCGGACTCTTCCTTCATAATCGACCGCATATCGGGGACTATCCCCTTATTCTTAATTTCTTCATAAATGGCGGCGACTGTGATATAATAAATCTTTTTATAGCCAGCCACCACTTTTTCTTATTTTCACCGGGCAACCATAATTTGTGTACTTGGGCTTCACGATCTTCGAGCCCTCGGAACAGTTGCTCCTCTTTTGCCTTCACAGGTAATGCATCGGAGGCCCCAAAGATTGGCAAGAACATTGATTCTTGGGCGATTACGCGTTGTTGGGCTAGCGCGAGAAATTCTGGGTAGGTCATTGGTTCGTTCTGGTATACAAACTAGCGAAACATAAAGTTGGGGCAGAGTCAGGTGTATGTCGCCACCAAAAGCATTTCGAAACGAAATGGCTCCATGTGGACTCGTGATTCAACCGAGCCACGTAATCCTTCAAGCTCTCATCACCCCTTTGCATGATATTAACTATAGATACATTGGGGATCATGCAGACTTGAGAGCCGATGAATTGCATGCAGAACGTCGTTCTGAGTTGGTCCTAATTGTTTATCGATCTCAAGGCCAGCGAATGGTACCAGCATTGCGCTTTTTCCCCCAGTGTAAGCGAAAAGGTACAACATCGAAGGAAGTTGTTGGCCTCCTATAAGTCCATCCATGAGTTTTACTACCCCAAGTGTGCATTTGGATCGATGTCTCTATTATAGAGGTCAATCTGAAGGACTTTGATTTTGATGGGCAACACCTTGACAAGAATGTGTGGAGAGAGTAAAGAATTCAGGTCGGCCGCAAACTAAGGATAGACTGAAGGGAGTTGGGAAGGATAGTCGAATGTAGGAAGTTGACGACACTCCTGTTGGGCCTCCAGATCGACAATGTGCTTATTCAAAATGGCGATCTCCACAACTTATTTGATAATTTGGAGAAGGCTTAGTTCTGAGGCGTTGGCGGAGATCGACGCATCGTTGGTTATTGTCAGGCTGATCAAACATTAAGGGATTGAACTAAATTTGGCATCAAATTGAGCCTAGCTCTCGCCCATGCCCCATTGAGGGTGAGAAAGGACGGTCTTGTCATTCCCATTGGTAGTCCCCCAAAGAGCGTGGGAGTCTACTTCATGGGAGCCGAATTGTTAGCCGACAACAATTTTATGAGTTGGTTTAGGAGGATTTCCGATTTAGGATGATTGATTTTTTGGGTGAGGCATTATGGAGTATATGGGAAAAGAGATCGGTAATCCCTTTGATAAAGATTAGACTGACAAAAATTTGGTTGACATCAGAGAGTGGAGAGGTCGTTCTCCTGGTTGTCATTATTGTTGCTAGAATTATATGGCGATGATGGCAGAATGACAGCATAGTATAAAAACGAACAACTTGCAAAGTTGAGAAAATAACTGAGTGGATTCCAACAGATTCACAAAAAACATGCCATTCTTCTAACTCCAATCTATTGGTATTAAAACATAACGACACATAATAACGACAATTGGTTAACGTAATCAAAGAGAATAAAGCAAATTTTTAATGTAACAAATGCTTGTATTACGTTTTTCACTTTTTCGTCGTGTATGTTGTAATTGCTAGTGTGTTTCTCGTATATCTCATGTAAATTTCTTGTGGTTTGATCAGGTTAGTAGAATTTATATTAGGTAAAAAGTAAAAATCATCTTGATGACTCGCTGAACACGTGGTACATGTTGGAGGGTCCTTCGACATGCAACGTGCTTTGTGGCAACACGTCTTTTTAGGATGAGACATGTATTCAATTCGTGGGTGACAACCTTCTTCACACTGGATGGTTATTCAGTTTCAGAAAACTCATTTCACGTTGGACCCCTTTTCACATAAAATAGTGAGATCGACACAAAGGAAGCTCTATGCTGCATGAGATCGGCACGAAGGAAGCTCTATGCGATCAACGTCGAAATTGAGGCTTCTATCAGAGAAGATATGTCTTAATTTGATTTTGAGGGATAAGTAGAGTGACGTGCCGATGTCAGCCCCAACTCATATCGACAAAAGTAAGCATATTCAAAACTTCTACGCTCCTTTAACTTTTGAACATGTTATGTAACAATATATCAAAATTATTTCATGATATCCTAATTTAAATATTTTATATATTATATATTTACAGTTTATATTACAATTTCTAGGCCAACTTGTTATTATGAATTTAAATATATAGATAAATTTCAATATTATTTATATCAATAGATATAATTAATAGACTTTTATAAATGTTAATATGAATGTCAAATCAAGTATTTTCAAAAACTGATTAATTTGACATGTTATAATAAAAAATTAATAAAAATTAATTATTTATATTTTATAAATAAAATATATATAATAATTAATACAACTAAGAAATAAACTCACTCCATTATTAATTAGGTTATGTATAAATATTAAGTGGTAGCACTCTTAAATTGGGATCAATAGGTTTTGACTTCGAGTCATACATGAAGTAAGTGAAAGAACCACTATTAATTCTCGTAAAAATAAATAATAAGTACCGTATTTCAAAAAATAAAAAATAAAAGAATTCATACAAAATATAATTAGAATGTAATGACTTAATAATTGACATAAAATTTACATAATGTAATTTTAAACAACACATCAACTTAAAAATTAACAATTCATATTTTTACCTTCATTATGTTCAAAAAAATTATGTTAAATTGTTTTATTCATATATTAATACATAGTTTGTTTACAATTTTATGAGGGATTCCATATTAATTTGACCTAAAATTTTATAATGTGATACTAATTATTTTGTTTGTTTTTTTCGGGGCAACGCCAATTATTAGACTTCTGAAAAAACATGAACTCTAATTCCGTTTATTTCCATCTTCTCCCCAATATCAGCTGTTCAAATTATTTTGGACAGTCTAAGCTTCAAAATATGCATATCTGTGAAAAAGTATGACAATCTAACAATTCATATTTTTACCTTCATTATGTTCAAAAAAATTATGTTAAATTGTTTTATTCATATATTAATACATAGTTTGTTTACAGTTTTATGAGGGATTCCATATTAATTTGACCTAAAATTTTATAATGTGATACTAATTATTTTGTTTGTTTTTTTCGGGGCAACGCCAATTATTAGACTTCTGAAAAAACATGAACCCTTGCTGAAGCTCTACGAAAAGGTATGATAGTTTTCACTTCTATCTCAAAACATTGTCCAGCCATTAACAGACTATCATAGAAAGTATTGCTAGTCCCTCCATACAGCAAAATAATTTCTGATTCCCCATCTCTTTTGCTAACTGACTTACAATATCAATAGTTTGAGAAAAACTTACCAGTTTAGAACCACCAAGAACACATATGGTTTTGATCAGTGGAAGAAAATTATTACCTTGCGAAGACTCTGAAACATCCATCTATTTATTGATAAACTGAATTTTTCAAAACTTTGTGAGGCTTATGATTATGATGAACGACTTGCTATTTAAATAGAAAAGTTTTACAAAACGATAAATACTTGTACTGTTTTCTTCTGACAATTGCAACCGACAGATAAGGTATGGGGTTTTAAATAAATCTTATATGTCGGCAGCTATAAGGATTTTTGTAAGATTACAGTACAACCTACTAAACTATTTTAGTATGATTTTTCGTACTAACAAGACCACTTTTACAAACTTGATCGTTTGAAATAATATTTTCGAGACTGTAACGTTCTTCTTCACTTTTGAACTGAGTCCATAAAGACATAAGCTCACGATGCACATATCCACTAGGATGTGTCTCAAGAATCTGTTGAATCGTTTGATCCAGAGACTCCTTACTCAATCCATCCTTTATAAATGTTATTTTATCTTCTCGATTTTTGGACACGTACCCCACAGATTTACATCTTGTGTCACAAGTCCATCGAGCGCATTTGTAGCATCCACCTAATCTTTTTGCTCTTCGTTTCTTTGCAAAAGTACTCTTACCCATACCTGACATATATTTATATGAATTTGGAAACTCTCCAGACAATCGAACTTGTGCTTCAATCAACCATCGAACATAATTTGGAATACCATTATTCATTAGCACCCTCAATCTTTCTAATCGAGATCGATAAATCCTTTTTATGATATTTTTCGGAAGAAAAAAATAATATTTACGGATATTTGATAGTGCTAAATCCATTTGTAAATTCAGACCTTTGTTGAGGAAAACTGAATGAATTATCTGATCAGTTATAGAAAAATATGATGCGTATGAGATATGACTCTGGACTTAAACAGTGTTCAAAAGTATGTGTGTCAGACGACATGATACGATTCTGGATTTAAATAGTGGCTAAAAGATATTGTGCCAGAGCCTACACTTAAAGTGCATTTATTGCCGCTGAAAGATGATGTGAAATGTTTGTGATAAACGTGGAACAACGAATTATTTTGATCACTTTAAAAATGTTTGTCGATATTATTGATAATGGTTTGCATGATGAACTTATTCTTTGATATGAGATGCTTGTTCTCGATTGGTGAAAAATATTACTAGCTAAATATTTGTGAATCGGTATTTGATCAATCTGAGTATGAACCCACTACCCCTCCATGTGTGCTACTAGATATTATGGATCCACTAGATAGCCACATGTGTGTGATCCATAACCTGAAGTTACGAGATGATTTGATCAAATAATGGATACATGACACGTAACCTGAAGTTACGAAATGGTTTGATCAAAGAATGACACAAGATGATTATGAAAGAATGAAAATAAGTGTCATATGAAAGTGATGAAGCTAGTAATATACTCAGCTGATATGATGAACTCTTGAAAGAAAAATGTGCACATTACAAATGATATGAGTTTAAAGTCCTCCAAATATATGCTGAAATCGAGAACAAAATGGAGACTATATGAAATCCCCTCAAGAAATTCAATACTGAAAATACAGATCAGGGATCTGTTAAGATGAGGGGGAGAATCAATGATTGAAATTTGGAAATAATATATGCATCACACTGAAAGTGTGCAAATCATAAACTATATGATAGATGATGGTGAATTATATGAAATGATATGTGGTGGAATATTACGCTGGAAGCGTTGGTATTGTGCAAATTGAAATTCCCCAAATAAGTGATGAAAGGGGGTATATTTACTATTGATGAAATCAATTAATAATGAGATATCTCAATAAACTACGGGGAATAATGGAAATAAATAAGTGTCGACACAAACAAATGAATAGCACTATATAAATGATATTGACAAAAATGAAATCAGCTAAAATATAAATATTGGGAACTATTGGCAGTAAGACCATTGAAATCAATTGACGATGAGAATGAGTTTAAGAATAAAAGTTGCACAAAGTATGATATGGCATACCATCAGTATCTGAAAATCTGAACGAATTTATATGATACTCATGAAAATTATTGAAAGATTATTATGGTGAATATACGGAATACGCGTTGTACTCTTTTTCCCTTGGCTGAGGTTTTGTCCCATTGAGTTTTCCTAGCAAGATTTTTAATGAGGCAACAGGGATGGCTTATTCACATGAATAGTGTACTCTTTTTCCTTCATTAGGATTTTGTCCCACTGGATTTTTCCTAATAAGGTTTTAACGAGGCATATTCATGGTATGATGAGGACTACTGGATAAATGATATGATTTCTCACGATGATAAGAGAGACTGGAGTAGTTGTACTCTTTTTTCTTCGATCAAGTTTTTTTTTTTTCACTGGATTTTCTTGACAAGGTTTTAACGAGGCAGCACGTTGATACTCCACTAAAGATGATCTATTTGAGGGGGAGCAATGTTGTGCTTCCACAATGCTCAGGTTTTATCCCACTGGGTTTTCTTGAAGAAACAATGTTATGATTTAACGATGATCAGGTTTTGTCCCACCGGGTTTTCCTGACATGCTGAAGCAACGGTATCTGATGGCCACAAGATATACACTTCAAGATGTGCAGAATGGGCTTTGTATAAATTAGTTAAAATATGTTTAGAAAATAGTCATTCAAGGGGGAGTGTTATGAAATAATAAAATAATGTATGTGAATGACTATTTTGCCCTCGATGTATTTGTATTATTACGAGTTGTGCCATCAAGAATTTCCTATAAATAGGAGCTTCAGTTATAATGAAAATCATACCTAAGAGAATACAGTTTCTCTATTCTCTCTTTCTCTCTAGTTTTATAACATGTTTTTTTNAACCCCATGTGGCTGAGGCGATCCAAAACCATAGCTCAGGTCAAAAACAACGCCGCCGCCGCCCTGAAATTCTCGTGCTCCCCGACGATTTCCCCGACGATCCAAAATATGCATATCTGTTAAAAAGTATGACAATCTAAGCTTCAAAATATGCATATCTGTGAAAAAGTATGACAATCTAACAATTCATATTTTTACCTTCATTATGTTCAAAAAAATTATGTTAAATTGTTTTATTCATATATTAATACATAGTTTGTTTACAATTTTATGAGGGATTCCATATTAATTTGACCTAAAATTTTATAATGTGATACTAATTATTTTGTTTGTTTTTTTCGGGGCAACGCCAATTATTAGACTTCTGAAAAAACATGAACTCTAATTCCGTTTATTTCCATCTTCTCCCCAATATCAGCTGTTCAAATTATTTTGGGTTTTGCAGCTTTTTTCTTTCTCCCCAACAGAGATTGGAAGGGAAGACTTATTGCGTTGTGCGGAGTGAAGAAAATGGATGCTGACTCGAACATTGTAAGACACACTTTCAGGATTTTCTGGGCAGTTGTCCAATGATTGTTGGCGCAATTTCTTCCTGTTTTTCATTTACTTTGTATATATGTCAACACCATTACCTCGTGCTTGTCTGAACTTGTTGTCAATTAGCCCATTCTATTTTAATTCACGGTCATGGTGTTGAGTGTTATGTGCCCATAATTCCCAATTTTTGTATAAATTGCAAGTTATAATGTTCAATTCTGCTGAAAATTTACAGAGAACAAGGAACAATTAAAATGTATACAGAACATAGGTTTCTTGTATCTTGTAAAAGAGGAGAATTTCAGTGTAATTATTCATGTATGTGTTTTTTCTCACCCTTATAATCAAAGGTGTTGGTTGAGGTTTGATTCTTGAAACTCGGGTCATTCAAGTTTCAATTATGATCTGCAATATTTCTCGAGTTGGAAAAAATACGATTTAATGTATGTGAAGGTGCCCGTTTGCCATGATAATGTATTCCGGTGTGAGCATAGATAACGTTGAATTTACTGGTGTACGATATTTTTTTTTTATTATTTTATTTATTTTATTCCATAATATTCCTGGTTGTGAAAGTATTCAGAATATTTCTTTAGGTTAGTTTCCCCACACGGGAAGATACGTATAGGAGTGACAAAAAGGTTTCATAAAACAGACTCAAATTCACTAGAGTGCCCAGCCATACTCAGTTCACGTTTTTTTCTGTTATCATGCTTGTGATGCTTACTTATCCTGCAGGATGTGAATAGTAATGACATTAACAAGATTGTTCTATCATATCTTGTGCACAATTGCTACAAAGACACGCTTGAGTCTTTCATTGCTTGTACTGGGGAGGAGCATACCGTTAGTCATGTGGAGGACTTGGAGAAAAGAAAACGTAAGGGCCCTTGTCAAATTCCCGATTCTATTCCTTCAATGCAATGGATTCTTTTTTCTTGTAGTTAAATGGGTCTGGTCATATGATTCTTTAATGTGTGCAATTTTATGGTATTCTGAATGTGCAGCATAGAGATTGATGTGTAAAGCATATGGGAACCTTTGGGGATATATTGTTTTTGCAGGAAACTCTATTATTCCATTTCTCTCTTGCATAATTTCACATATTCCGAATTATTCTTGATCTCTCTAAAAATTTTTGTTCAAACACTTTTCTCTAATTACAGGAAAGTTTTTCATCAAAAGCATATCCTCATGACACCGTTAGTTTTCTAAAGGACTCGAGAGTAACATGGTAATGGGAAGTGACTTTAGGCTATCGAGCAATTCTGTGGAAGATCCTTATGAAGTAAAGAATTTTATGAGATGGAGTTCTAGAAGAAACACTGCTATAAAGAAAAATAAATTAACGAGGGCCAAGAGAAGAAGATAAATTTGAGAGATGAAAGATGCTTTTCTCATTGCATGGATCTTTCAGTAACACCCCCACCTAATTATATAGTTTCCACTTTTATGAACTTGACGTGTAAATTTAAAGTGTTGGTATAATGCACTTTGTGGGAACCAAATTAAAACTCAAGCCAAAATAAATAAATAAATAAAAATGAGAAAAAAACTCAAGTAACTTCGGCCCTGATCTTGAAATTTTTACCTGCAGAAATATACCAATTTGCATTGAATGGGAATGCATTAGAGGCTATCAAGCTGACAGAAGAACATACCCCTGGCTTGTTGGATGCGAATGAGGATTTGCATATTGATCTATTATCACTTCATTTTGTTGGGCTTATTCGCTCGAGGAAAACGTAAGTAAGGTTGGTTTTATTTAGAGGTTTTAAGCAGATGTGTACTTTACTCGCACCTCGTTTTTTTCTTTTTTGACAGTGAAGAGGCTCTTGAATTTGCAAATTCCAAGATGGCTCCCTTTGGAAAAGAGCAGAGACTTGTTCAAAAGCTTGAAGTATGTGTTCTTTCCAATACATTTTCGTTTAATCTGTAAATTGCCCCTCAGATTTCGAGCATAATTGTGTATGAATATTCATGGTTATTTTTACAGGACTGTGCTGGTCTTCTTGCATATCAAGAACCCGAGAAATCTCCATTGTTCCATCTTTTAAGCCCGGAACATCGACAGCACGTAGCCGACAGTTTAAACAGAGCAATTCTTGGTATTTTTTATTTATTATTGTTATTTTTTTTCCCCACTATGTATTCAACAATTGAGTACATTTTATGGTATTTCTTTTGCTCGTCATATTGTAGCACATACTAAGCAACCCAGCTACTCAACAATGGAAAGGATAATACAGCAGACAACTGTGGTCAGACAGTACTTAAATCAAGAATTCAACAAGGTGCGAAGTTTTTTGTTATCTGCTATGCATTAATCTATGTACTTGCTTATTTAGTTCCTTTTTCTTTTTACTAATGTGAGGTATATGAATTTTTGGAGACATTTTGTGAATGCGGTGGAATGCTGTCATGAGGTTTAGCCTAATAATCATTCGACATTACAAGTTCTCCTGAAAGATGTACTATTTTACTGATGTAAAGCGGACACTTAAATCTAGAGTATTTTTCATATTTAAGAAGGATGTATGCGAGGGATATATGCAAAGAAAGTCTGTAAGAATACATAATTTCCTGTATTACATTACGTATAACTGGAATCTAACCTAACGTGCTATTTGACTATTTGTTTTTCCAATATAATCAGGATGGGCATCATCAACCTTTCTCTTTGGAGGATTTTCTCAAGAGCTAAGCCTTCTTCTGGATTTTCTTGAAGCAACCATTGAGATATGCGTTGTATTGGTGGCTTGAAGGTGATTGTGGCACGTAAAACCTTCATATATGATCGATTTATTTCAAAACATATGATGGCCTACTTGATACTTTTATTAAATTACACTAGAGTAAAATTTTTAACTTCCAGGGGACTGCATTTCGTCATTTAGACACGAGCCTAATCTTAATTTCTCGTCGTAAGGTGTAAACTACTCGAGTTTTATCCTTGTGAAGAGGATCTCCTTGCCTTTTTTTCTTTCCTGTTCTTTTTCAGATTTATGTAAATGTTTTAGGATGAACTACTAAGGGGGACTTCTTTCTTTTCTTTGTTTTTCAAGAGAGAATTTTATGATTGCACAGTTTAACCGTTATGTTAATTTTTTTTTTTTTTTTCAGNTTGAAGTTTTCGACTTCTTGAGAAGTTGGTAATGTTACTGATTTGCATAATGATAACTTGTAATTTGCATAATGTGGATACATTACTGATTTTCTGAGTGAGTTTGACCAAATTTTGCATTTGGAATGTCCTAAAAAAGAATATATCGACACACAAATTAATCGGGTGACGAATTATTTCACGCCCTCACATATGATAATCAAACCCGAACCACTTGGCAAATTACCATGTTCCTCTAAAGCTAGTTACTACCAAAATTCTCAAACCACAAGTAACAACTCACAAGTTACAACAAACATCAACTAAGGTAAATTGTACTGAAACCATCTGCAAAATAATACACATAAACAAACTCTTCATATTAAATTTTTCCTATCTCCACAACAAATATTTTCCCCCGATGACTTCCAGTGCCGGTTAACAAACCATAAAGAGTCAGCCTCGACTGCAAATCCATCCTGATTACGATGCCAACCGAAATATGCATGGCTCCTGTTCTTAATATCGAAAATCGCATGCCCAAAGCTGGCTTCCCGATAAGCTGAGTAGCTCGGTTGTGGCTCGGTCATCCTACACGAGCCAAAATTAAATACAGAAAAAAATGAACACAAAAAAAGTCGAATAAGTCTTAATAAGATAATTTACACTCGACGTACTCTTTGACTAGGCCTTCTTGATTTCCTCCATCACCTATGGTGATATAAACTGGAGCCGAGTCATCGTTAATTGGAGTGCATAATTTGTTCACCACATTGTATGCTATGTTGGATATACGTTCCTATTGCCAACAAGACGTGCAAAGTGTGATGTAAAATGTTGAAATAGAGTTCAAGCTTATATGTAGTGTACAGTTGCTGAAATCTTATATAAGTTCAAGATCGTGTCTTTCTAAACCACAAATCTAAAATTTGCATTCATTCACAATCTCAAATCTCCGAAAATTGGTTATACATTCAGACGTAAAACAAGATAGACTTACAGATCGTTCGTACGCATGAACATGGCCAGCAAAGATGACATCAACTTTGTACTGAACAAACCACGGTTCGTACATTACACGCATAGTCTCTCCTTCCATATAGTGATGTACGTAACTGTTATACAGAGGGCTGTGCATGAGTACAATCAGCCATGGAGTCTCTGTTCTATTCACTTTAGGCAGCTCGCTCGTGAGCCACTTGTATTGTGGTGTGTATTTACCTGTTAAAATAAAAAAAGAAAGAAAGAAAGAAGATAAACAGGCAATATTTTTTATTTTTTTTTTTTCTGCGTGAAATTGAAATAAAATAAAGAAACTCGATACCATAAGCTGAATAAGAAGACAGAACAATGATGTAGGCCGAAGCTCTCTTGATGGAGTACCAAAGAGGAGAAGTACTTCCCGATGCTCTATATGGTGTGAAAAATCGATTTTTGTACGGCTTGAATGGTTTCGTTTCACCCTACAGTCAAAAATAAGTACTTCTAATTTAATTCGAAAGTTTTGCAATTTTATGAACTTACCATATAAACAAAATCAACATAAAAAATGATATGAAATGAAAAAGAAAAAAAGATAATTCATGTTAAAAAGAAAACATACGGTTTCAGGAACAAAGTCGATTTCATGATTTCCAGCAGTCCAAATCCATGGCTGATAAGCTGCATTTCTCTCGATAAACCTTCCCCAACTGTCCCATCTTGTATTATCATGCAAAGGATAACTATCGGCATAAGAAAGGTCCCCAACGAACAAAATCGCCTGTCCTTTTACAGGGTTCATCTCATAATGAGTAAGAGTTCGGTTCGAATCATGAGTTTGACCAAGATCACCTGTTTCGTATAAAATACACATTTAACACATGCAATCAACCTCTTTTTTTCTTTTTTCTTCTCATCTTTCAATTTTCAGTAGAATATAATCATCTTTACCTATAAGACCAAATGTATAAGGAATATCCGGGCCCGGTTGAGGAGGAGTAGCGAACCAAAACTGTCGTTTGATATTCTCTGTTCCGATTTCATAACAGTATTTGGTATCGAACTGCAATTTAAGTAGTTTTAAAAACTTTAGACATCAATGTGAACATATAGCATCAAATAAAAATGGTGGTACCTCAAGATTCGTAATAGTACAGTGATGGATGTAGCCCGAGGTATAATTGTAGAATTTATATTTCACGACAATGCCACGTGCGATTTTCTTGATTTGGCTGTTTTCAGCCCAATAGAGCACTGAACGTGAACCAGATTCATTTGGTGTGATCCAAGAGATTATTATGCCCCTGCCTTCATGATCTCCTTGTGTAATGTGAACCTTCAAATATCGAGCAAACAATTAAATTGATATAAAAGAGTTGGGTTTGAAACATATATTGTGGATAAATGTTTTTTTTTTTTTTGGTGTAGAAAAATGAACATCATCTGGCTCCATTAAAAGCCACTTTATGGTTTTTCTTGTTTGAATACTAATTACTATTAATTTCTAAAATGTGGGAACAGATTTTGCTAAACTTGGCCATAGAGCTCCTAATTAAACCTCTTTAATTGTTAAAAACAACAATTCATTCATTATTTGGACAAATCATTTATGAGCTTTCTAGTGATATCCTATCACCAATTGTCCAAATCCTTAGTACATGCACAAAATTAACACAAATTCTTGTGTGAGGCAATCTAACCGTTGGGCAATTTTAACAAAGTGCATAAACATATCACATATTAACTATCACATATACTGTTCCATTGAGATACCATTTAATCATATCATAAAAAAGTGCATAAACATATCAGATACCATAAATTCTTATCTTATGCTCAACCTTGCAAACAGAATCCCACCTCAAAAATCACACAAGAAATCAAAATTGACAACCTAAAAACAGGGGATGGTCAATCTTTCCCCCAAGAAACTGCCAAATGTATAAATTTACAC